ATATATATATATATATATATATATATATATATATATATATATATATTCGATATTTATAGGTAAATTTATATGTAAACGGGATGAATTATTGATACGAGTAAAGAAAATAATAGAAAAGACGGTCGGAGAAAGAGAGGAGCACGTCCGGTAATATCTGGTTGGAATGAGAGAAAAGCTGAACCGTTGGGTGGGATAGAGTGTGTTGGGGTGGGGGACAAAGCTGTGCGCGAGCGCGTAGTACCAGGAAAGCTGACGACCGGGCGCCATACTGGTTTCGTTGGTTCGACATAGTACGCGCCCAGAGCGCCTACGCTGATTGTCGCGGTGCTCCGTTGTGCTCATTCGTCGACGTTGTCGTTGTCGACGTCGTGGTCGTGGTCGTGGTCGTGGTCGTGGTCGTGGTCGTGGTCGTGATCGTGGTCGTGATCGTGGTCGTGGTCGTGGTCGTCGTTGTCGTCATCGTCATCGGCTGCCGGTGGTGCATATTTTTTTCCGGTCGTTCGAATTTTTCGTGTATCCCGCGAGTGTTTATCGGCGGACGAGGGTGGCCGAACAAGAGAAAAATAGACAGAAACGAGCACAGACGTAGTTTCAATTCGCCAGTAGTCACCGCTGCAGCCGCTGCTGTCGCTGCTCTTTTCTCGAACCGGCTCTCACGACAAATCGTCTTGCGCTCGCATCGGTGCGTACAGTGGTAGAAGAAGAAGAAGAAGAAGAAGAAGAAGAAATCTTCTAGCCAGAGGATTTAACTTATTCGTCAAAGACTGGCCAAAGCGTCTCTACCTACGCCTGGCGTCCCGGAATTGGGCTCGCCACGTTCCGCTAGGTGAGGACACTCCGAATGAAAGACACGTTAGGTCAAGTCATTTGTTCGGTCTGATTTCCGTCGACGACTGCATCCTATCGTCGTAATCGTGTCTGGAACTCGATTATACAGTGTCTGTATAGAAGCCAATTCCAATACCGGTTACGGTTACGCGCTCTTACTTTCGATCGAGGCCGACTTCGGCCTCCAAACCCGTCCATACTTTCGGAACAGCTGCTCGCGGACGAGTTTCGACTGCTCGAACAAAGGTTAACGATTCGACCGGAACGTATCGTTCGTTTAGCTTACGCGTTGCATTGCCGTCGAGTTTGGACTCTTTGATTAGCTCAGGTTCTCGCGGTTCGCACTGCTGCGAAATGACATACACGTAGAACGTGTAATAAACAAATTTTACATTACACGGTGAGAAGGTAACCTTTACAAATGATTGTACATGTATATCGGTTGTCTCGAATGGAGAGCGGTGCTCCGTTTGTGCACGCATTAAACCAGTGCAGTAACAATTGCATCGAGCATGTTGACATCAGGATTGATTCATTGTTATCGATGGTCCAATAACGACGATTCGCGGCGTCGAAAGGATTAGTGTGTGTCGTTTCGATCATATTTCATGTGCTGTGCAAACGTACACTTTATCTCGACTCGTGTTTCTCAATATATTCTATGTGACTGCATGATATACGTACGTGTAGCAATTTGTTCCAAGCTAGAGCTGTTCGTTGAGAGATTAATTTAAAAAATTCAGTAATAATTTACCAACGTGTGTCATGGGTTCGACGAAAACCAAGAGCCATTCTATCCTTCGTCACACCCGCAGCAGATGTTTCTCGCGGAACAGGAGACGCGAAACACGAGACACGAGACACGAGACACGAGACACGAGTCCTTTGCCGAGAGAGTCAGAGTTGTTGCAACAACGGGCTCTTTCGTGCTCGAAACATAACGTTCAAGTTGTCCGTTTGCATTATACATGCCGCGGACTGTACGGAAATATTACCATTAGTGGCGCTACGTTGCGCGCCAAGACGGATCACTTTTCGTATAACGATGTGTTACGCGCATTCGAGTAACGATTCTTCGACTTTTATCGGTAGTCGAGTCTTAAAAATTTCAATTGAATTTTCGTTGTCCGGTGAATTGATTTGCGTTGGTCTGTTGGTCTGTTGCCGATGGTTTCCGGCGAAACTCGGAGCCTAAGAGAACAGAGAATTCCCAGAAAGGAGCAAAAGGGTAGGAGGTTGAATTTCGTGGAAGCTGCTGGCCGAGAAAAGGGAGATCGGGCCAAAAAGTGGTGTTCCGTTCCGTAAGAAAGTAAGAAAGTAAGAAAGTTGGCCCGTTGCCGTTGACACTAGCGCCCCCTTATCCATCTCGGAATCACCATCGGAGAGGAGTCATTGTCGCGTCGTATGCTCTCACGCTAGCTGCTTCATTAAGACTCATTAGCAGGCAGCGAGCTCCGCAGATCCTCCGATTACACAGCATCGTACACCGAACTCTTTTTCGCAGATGCTCGTTCCGACACGTTCGCCGATATATCATTTCACAGTGCAGGGTCAATCCCCTCTCGAAGGTTGTGATCGTGATCGTGATCGTGATCGTGATCGTGATCGTGATCGTGATCGTGATCGTGATCGTGATAGTTGTACCAGTCGATGCATATTTCGGAGCCCTCGCGGATCTTGTCACGCGCGTGCTCTGCGCACGTGCGAAATTGTGATTCTCGAATCCAAGACTCGTCAGTTGTAATACTAATACTCCCTCGAACCAATTAGCAACCAAACAGAGATTCCGTTTCATCAATCGCATCAAATCGTTTTAGAGGGGACTGGTAATTTACCGTAAAAAGTAGAGTAAGAGCGACAGTGAAAGAGTGTATTTAATGGCGTCGAGCATTTCAACGCGGTGGCATTAAAAAGTTACACGGGCCACACCGCCTCAGGTAAATCGTGTTCGTTTGGGTGCAGGAACGGTCTCGATGGTCGTTGACGTTAATGGCATTTTCGTGGTATTTCGTGGCCAGAACGCTGCACTACTAACGTATCGTCGAAATCGATGTTTCACGAGCTTATGAGAATAGACTCGACTCTATCGTCTCGCGAAACGTTCTTTACCGAACTCTCGTTAGAACGATAACTTGAACATAGAATGCTTGTACCAACGGTTTCTGCTCTCTAGTCTGCACGATCTTACGAAAAAAGTGCAAACTACTCCAACTAGACGAATGAAACACGATCACACGCGTCGACACCTTTTTGCCAATGGAACTAACCTATTATACATATATTCTCCTCGATATTTACGAACACGTACACGTATCAATCTCGCGGCGCGACGCTCAATTCTTCTACAATAACAACATTGAAATGTCTCTCGTTCGTATCGTAGTAAAGGAAATTTCCACGAAGAGAAAGAGGGCGTCAACAATTTAACGGAATAACCATCCGAGGATCTCGATGGTATTGGTCGCGCGAGTGTGCGTTCGCTATCGCGAGGATCAACGGAGCCAGCAAAGGAAACGGCTTGCTTCGACCCTCCTTTGAACTTCCGGTCGCACAAAGCGAACCTTGTCTCTCTCTCGAACGAGCATCACTCGACCAACTGCAGCGTAGATATTTATAGGAAAAAAAGAAAAAAGAAGAAAGGTAAAATCCGAAAACCTCGGCCATATATGTAGTCATACGGACAGTTCGAGTTGGTTTCTTTCAAAGAAGACTTTGTTAGGAATGAAAAGTTGTACTTGTCTTGGTCGCGGAACAATTTAAACATCTCGTTTGACCTAACCTTTAAAGAGTCTTGGTTTCTTCAACTATATCGTGTATACTGCTTTGCGTTAACGATTTTCCTGATCGTTGCAAGACTGTACGACGAGATATCGGATTAAATAGGAAAGACGATATCAGTTTTAGCGGTTCGTACCGTGCTAGGATTCCCCTTTTAAACTGATCCAACTCTCGACTCTCGTAGCCTATAGTCGGTCTCTCGGTCCTCTTTCGATCGCAAGAATACAAACCTCGACGGTTCTTTCGAGATAGAGCGGGGGCGATAGACTCATTTCAACGGGGGAAAAGATAATGCAAAACGTTGATTCACGGGAAAACAAAGGAACCACTTTGTGCGCGTCGAACACGGTGAATGGACTTGGCGTTCGAGAAGTTATGAATGAGCTTAGAAGCACGAAGTGCGTGCGCATATGCACCTTGTCCCGATGCACGTGTGCGCATGCATCGAGACGCGCACCGGTCTAATGTACTGCATTCGCGCAGGAAATAATCATAGCACAACCTAGTCTCTCGAATCACCATACATGTATTTACGTAGAAATATCGAATTGCTTGGGGGGCTCTGGAAAGTGGATCGAAATTGGAAATTTCGTGGCAATGAGATGCACACAAAGCCGCTTCTTCGCGAACAGGTTTTCTTTTAAAGCACGAGCTAGGTCGATGGCTTCTGTAATACGATCCCTCCACCGCGTAACCTATCGTCTAGCCCACCGTGGTGGTTCTCAGTTTCACCTCGGAAAACACTGGAAAGGGCCGTGCAGCGGTTTCTCGAATCAGCATCTTGGTCTTAGATTATTCGAGTCTCCATGACCGATCATAGGTAATAATTTCGGCTGTTAGCAAAACGACGGCGGCGATTACCTGGAAAGCACGATTTCATTTTGCATGGATAAGTTGTAAGTATATGTAATTCGCGTGATCTGTTTCCCGGACCTGGTTTCGTAAAAGTTTCATCCTTTTTCTTCGTTCGCGTGGTTGCGGAGCTACAGCCTGGCATCGGGGTCGGCGTCGGCGTCGGCGTCGGCGTCGGCGTCGACGTCGCATCATATATGGTTCTGTTCTTGAAACGCGAACGATCGTCCCACTTTTGCGCCGTTCTCCACCCGTTTCGTGCGCACGTGTGTCTACTCTCTATCGGTCGACCAGCGCGATTCTTGCACGCGCTTCGGACCGGCTAAAGAGGTCTCTTCTCTATTAGGAAAATGCCTAGTACTTGTATTTACACCTGTCCAATATTTCAGTACAATAGTAATAGTCAATATTTTGGTAAGGGTCACCAACTATTATTCCTAAACGATCGTCATCAGTTTATGTCCAGAGGACGCAATCATCGTTCGGCTATTCTACATCCTGCATCTCGTACACGTGTCGCGTACTTACTGTCTTGCATTTCTTCTATTCGAAACGGATATTTTCCATCTCGCGGTACAATAACTGTATTCTTTTCTTTCCGTTCGCATACTGATATCGCTAGAATAGTGCACGTATGGTATACAACCAGGGCAAGATAAACTCGAGATGAAAATACTCACGTGTCGGAAATTGCACGAGGCTCTTCCGTAATATTTGCCTGTTTGTTTGTTTCACAGCGATGCGATGCAATGCGATGCGATTGGGTGATTTGATCACGATTACGCTCCTGAAAGATTTTCTTGATCGCGTGCAATCGAGGAACGTTACCCCTCGTTTATGTAGTTTCTTCCCCTCTATCGTCTCCTGTTCGTCGCTTCGTTACGCCAAATTGTGGAAAATTGTCCAATCTGTTCTTTTTCACTGATCGTTATTCACTCTCGTCGATATAATGCTGCGCTTCGAGTTGAAAAAGTAATAGCGTATGCGTATGCAGCGCAAAGTAGTACATATTCCAATCGCTCGAAAAGTACGATGGACGATCGGTGATCGAAGATCGATCGAGTATTACGTCATGTGATATGATACTCGTATTATTTTGTGATTTTGTCTAACAATAAGCCCTGTTTATCGATCAAGTTTGCATAAGTCGCTAATTGGCCGTTAGATTGCGAATCTAAATTTCCAGCTGGAACACGGAAATGCGCCGGATGGTCTGGGCCTAATCGCGTTAGCGATAATTGAATTACCTTTAGTTCCCGTATGCTTACGTACGTGTCGCGACGTTGTTCGGTCGTCGTTTCGTCGCTCGTTTCACAGAAAATCGAAAGATGTCTGAAGTGTTGCCGGTGCGCTGGCATTGGCTTCGTTTCGTAATCACTGGTTCGAGAGCCTTTTGTCTTTTGCGACCGGTCTCTGGTCGTGTGGATGCACTCGTCACGCAAGTGGAGACTTTTCGTTTCCTTTCGATGACGATGACGCCGACGCCGACGCCGACGCCGATGCCCGAATGCTCCGCGTTGTTGGTTGAAATTTCTCCCGGTTTTTTTGGTACCTTTACAACATTCCTTGAAAAAACATTGATCGACTAAAGTTGTTTTCGTTATACCGGCACGGTGCGATCGTGTTCGTTCCGAGCGTCTACGACCGTGATTCATCGGTTTCTCCATGTGAATCGCGTTACACTCTACACTCGTCGTTCTTAGCGCGAAACATCCGTTTCTTCCTATCACCTCAGACGATGACCTCATAGCTGATGACTTACGGTTTGCAGAAAAACCGATGCCATCATCGTGCAAGAGGCGCAGCCGGTTTACATCAACCCCCAAAAATAACGCGGTTCGCTGAAAGGCCAGCAATGCAGGCGTCGACGTCGCGTCTGTTCGCACCAATCTTTGCCCGAAACTGTTCCTCTTGATCGTTTGCCAGGTCAAAATGGAATTACGGTTCGAAATCCGCCCGTTGGCGTCGGCGTAGGCGTCGGCGTAGACGTCGGCGTCGTGACACACATTCATCATTTCTACGTTGACGACAATCAAAAGAAAATACAGTAAATACACTCGCCGTTCGTGTCGGAGTAGGCAACTTGTATTAACTCGTGACGCCGTGAAATTCTCGATGCTACGAATCATCGATAAAAAGAATAATTTATTTATTCGATATACAGGGGCTATTCGCATTCGGGACTTTGTGTTTCGAGGGGAAAAGCGCGAGGTGAGGTTTTACGCGTGAAAGATCGCAGAGAAAGTTTTGCGCTATCGAAGTATCGTGCATCGTGGCACACGCCGCGCCGCAATGCTTGATCTATTAATAGGTAGACGCACACTGTCTATTACTCTCGATTAAGTCTATTACCAGGCCAACGGCATTATGCGATAACGCACTCGACGCGAATGACACACGCATGCTTTCGTTATTACGCCTCCAACTGTTGCAAATGTCGAAACACATCGCACTTTATGCTAGAGCCAACTTTACTGCTAGTCCAGGATGATTTCTCGGGAGGATGATTTGCGCGGGAGAAACGGTGATGTTTAGCGCGTCGCGTCGGCGTCAACGGCGACGGCAATACGACGCCGATGGCCACTGGAGTGGGACGTGTGTCGATGGCGGCCAAAATGAATAGGATTCAATTGGATGTCGACAGTGTAATTATGATCCGTCAGCGTGCCCAGCGATACCCAATACAGCAGCGACGCGAAACAGCGATCCATTTTCCCTATGGTACCTCTGAAACACGTAATCTATTGTATTCCAAACAAGGACAGAAAGTATTCCGATAAGTGCGTTTTTCGTCAGACTATGATTTTTAAAAATAATTCTTTTAAAGATAAAAGTGGCAAGTTAAATATAAGAGCGGAAAGAATACTATACTGTATATACACACATATATACGTTGTTTAAAAAGGACCGGAGATTGTCGGGTGAGAAGCGATAAGAACACAGAGATTCGTTGTACCGATCAATTGCAGCTTCTTTCGCAGTTACGTCGCTTTTATCTGTTTCCTTCGTATTATCATCTCAACGAAATTCTCTCGTCAAGCGACTCGTTTGTCGTTTTCTTTTGTCGTGTACGGAAAAAAGAAGAGATCGTCAGTTACTGGGTCAGTATTTGCATGACTGTGCATCGTGAAACCTTTGACTCGGAGTTAGCTTTGCGCCGCACCATATCCCTCAAGCTTTTCTTTAAAAGAGTCGGAAGCGCGACATTCCCCTCGATGGTATTTTCGTCGTTAAAAAAAAAAACGATCGAGTATCATCTTCGCAAACGTCTTCGAGATTCGGAACTTTTCTCGATGTTGTTTTCCTTTGTCGACAACCCCTGAGGATATTCCGTTTGGCTCAAGTTTTCTAGTCCTTGGAGATTTTCATACAACCGCCAGTTTCTTCTCCGAGCAGAAGCGCTCTTATTGTTAGAAAGCAGGCAACTATGCAAGATAGCACTTTGTCAGAAAAAATTCGCGCACTTTCTCGTTCGATTTCACGTTGTCGCATTCCTCTTTAAACGCTACAAACCCGAAATTCGATGATATTATTCTCGAAAGGGGAGTTTTCAACGTATTTACGTTGCTTTCGTCAGGATGAAATACCGGAAGTAACAGCTGCGTTCGTTTGTTTGCGCCAGCGCCAGCGCGAAGTACAGTTTTCACAATGGTTGTTTAAGTGTAATTACGTACGCTTTAAAAGCGGTGTAGTCGAATAATTATCCACGTCCGCGTATTATCCGTGACAAGTGACAAGATCTAAGGGAATGCAAAACATGGAAGCAACAAAAATGTGAAATTCCTCGGCGGTTTTCATTAGATCCATTTCCGAAGCCCTTTTCGGGGCAGAGGGCGGAGACGAGAAAATTAAATCACGACTGGATTTAATAAGGCTCGGCTCTGTGTTTAGCCTGTACACTCGAGAGTTACCGTGTCGCCTCTCTGGGAAGATAAAGCCCCTCGACTCGCTTAGCATAAAGTTTTGAGCGTACCTCGACTATGACGACGATGTCGACGACGACGACGACGACGACGACGACGACGACGAGTTATAAGACGATGAGATACGTTAAAAAAATACAGTTGAAAAAGACGAAACGTAATGCAATTGCCTTCTCTTCAAGCTCCTTTGTATTTTTATTTACTTTTGTTTTCCTTGACAAATCGCGTTCGTTTTGCTAAAATGTCCAGGTTTATAAATAATAGTCGTTAAAAATTATAATTAAAGAAACTGAACAGTATTTTTAATTAATAAATATTGTTTCTTTGCATAACAGTGCGGTATCGTAAATGAAAAAAAAAACGTAGCGCTATGTCAAGAGACCGACAAAATCTCGTATTAATTTAAACGCGCGATTACGTTTTCCTTCGCTAAGCAGAATGTTGTTCGTCGGCTCCAGCTGAAAAAAGACAGCCGCTCCGCTTTCCAAGTCGCCGCAGCATCTGGAAGAATAAAAGCTGAGTAAACCGTCTTTCGTGTATACATAGGAATTGATTATGGATGGAAGGTTATCACGTGTGGCTTGGTGGCATGGCGTTCCTTAAAAATGTGAACGCCTGCTGGCTGACTTGCTTCTATCGACGATGTAAAATCCGTAGTCGATTCTTTCGATGAAAGAATTCCTTTCCTCGAATCGATATGCGCGAACGTGGTTTACTTGCGAAACGAAACGGAATGATTGGACGATATCAAGAAAATGCAGAAAATTGACGCAACTGTAACTCTGTAATATTTGTCCGTTTTACGAATCTTGTTACGGCGCGGCCGGAACGGCCACGGTATGGCGTGTTAACCAATTTGCGCGAGGTATGCGTGGCTCGGAGGGTTTGCTGCGAGTTTCAGACGACGATCAATAGCCAAAAGGGCGTCAGGTTGCCCGAAATGCACGTATAAAGGCTAAAATTTCCTTTGAATGGTGATTTGCAAACGTGCTCGTTAATGCATTCGTTGCCGTAAAAGGTATACCTACATTGTATTTTTATCGACGAATATTAAAAATAGGAATAGAAGAGAGAATTCAACTGTCGTATAGCGTGTAGGTGCAAAGAAGATTGAGTCGAGGACGTACTCGTATGTTATCGAAACGTTTCACGCCAACATTGCATGTCCGAGATGAAATTTTCAAAGAGAGTAGGCGGTAACGATGATCGCGCGCCCGCGCACGCACGCACGCGGTCTATATTTAAAAGTGACTCTCCAGATTCAACTCGTCGAGATTCTATCTCGCGTCACTGATTTTTCGCTTTCTTCCAACGCAACGTTTGGATCGAGTGTCGGGGGGTTTTCGTTTTCGTTAATCTATGTATTCGATAATATTTATCGTAATGTAAACCAGCGAAACGAAAAAATAGTTGATTCGTCGTGAATTCGTTGATTAGTCGTTAGAGACACATCATATGTACCTATGCGTTGATATTTTGTAACGAGTCATTTATTCACCATTCATGTTTGAAATTTTCACGTAGATAAGAACGATTTCCACGTCTGCGTATACCTATTATTTGACCTATTATTGTATTGTAATATCTATATTTGATTTTTATCATATATTTGATAGCGCTTATAATAATAGGGGGGCTAGATACACGGTGTTCGAAGTAGGTAAAAAAAATGTGGAACAGTCGACGACCGTGTTGTATATCGTGTCCATCGCGTCCATCGCGTCCATCGCGTTCTTTCGTATTCTTCTACGTGATAATTATGCTGTACGCGCGAAGCGTATGTGTGTTACTTGGATTAGCGTGGCGCAGTTACAGAACGAGCAACTTGGCTGATTGTGAGCGAGTAATTTTGTAACGCCAGCTCGTCCGTTGCACGTTTATTCCACGAATACGAATAGACAAAGTTATTGCTCGCAGGAAGAATCGATGCCTCGTTCGCCGTTCGTCATGCGTTTCTTTCGACGAAAGTTATGCCTTCGACAACTCGCAATTTCAATCTTTTAACCTTACGTTCGTGACGTTTAGTTATGTATCTTTAATGACTCGTCTCTTCATTTTTTCCTTTTCTATTTCTCTTTCAATTATTATTCTCATTCTGATACGCGAGCAATACACGTATTAAATCATTAATTGAAAAGTAAACCTACGTGGAAAATCGTAAATGAAACGGATCGAACGGTCGCGCCCGTGCCGTGGATAAGTGTTATTTACGTTTAATTGGAATTTCGATTACTCGCTCGGTAATTTTGTTGCTTTTGTGTTCAGGAAAGCCTGTTGAAAGGTGACGCAATTTCGTCACGTGCTCTCCGGCCGAGTTTTTATGTAATGTAAACGGGACGATATTTACATGCACGCATACTAGGTACGCGCGGACAATTTGCATGCACGCGTAAAGTGCATCGCACGATCGCATCCAGACAATCGATTATTAAATCCGACGACTCGAGAGACTCTCGGTGATTTAGAAGACAAGCTTGCGATGTTGCGAAAGGTTGAGAAACCCTGAGAAGACCTGTACTCTGCACACTCTGCACTTCTAACTGGTTGGAAAATCGATCGATCGATCGAGGGAGCCACATGTTGCTTCGATCATAAGTTTACACAATGATCGTCGTGGCCACGGCGGGGGCGCGGACGCGATACCGACCACGAACCACGAACCACGAACCACGAACCACGAACCTCGACGTCGACTGTATTTGCATGCGCATTGCTTCCTCTCGGCTCGGCTCGGCGCGGCGCGGCGCGGCGCGGCGCGATCCGAGCGCCCTCGCGTCTGACAGACATCCGACGACGATCCGACTCTTGTTTGGTTCTACGTATACGCGTTACGCGTGCGTGCACCTGCCGCTCGGATACTCGCGTCCTACCTTACGCGATCAAACTCGACGCATCTTTCTTTTTCTTTCACGATACGATCGCCCCGCGAGTCGCGAGCTGGTTAACACGCGAGATATATGATATGAATCCAATCGTCGATCAAATAAATAGATTCCTTTCGATTTTCATTTTTCACCCTTAACGATAAAGAAAAGGAAAACTGCTCTTGAGCGTGTGGGAGACCGCGCGGTCGACTCTCAAAGTGCTTCTCGAGTGTGTTTGTTAACCGTTCTCGGAGACGGGCTTTGCGTAATTTTTTGCATCGCGTCGTGTATACACTGTACACGTAGGTTTCGATTGAATTGGAATGTTTAATTTCTCTATCGAAAAACTGATTGGATTTTCAGTTGCGAATCGAGTGGAATTTAATCGCGTCACGTTTCGAATTTCTATGCATCGGTGTGATCGAGGGGTAACGAGATCATTGTAAATGTCGGGAAACGTATGTAAACGTGGACTTAAACTCGATTCTCTCCACCTACGTTGCAGCCTTTTCGTACCGTTGCCGTTGGTCGTCTACGGAGTTTCCTAGAAGGAGCGGCTCGGTAAATTGCGTCGCCCTCGTTTCGATTACCGTTATAGCTCGATTTATACATACTTGGCAACCCGATATTTAACGTGTAATCAAACGTGGTATGCATGGTACGCGCGGACTGCAGTGATTGTACGTGATTGTATGCATAATAGCATGCTGTTGTTATCATAATTATTTTTAACTCATCGAAGCAATGGTTTACCGTTCGATGAACGCTATTAAATCGCAACTAACGACAAGAAGGTGGACATAGCTTGTTCGATGAAACGCGTCTGCGGCTCGTCATTTCCGCAAAAATTTTACAATTTGGTCATATTGGCGTCTGGTTCGTAGAGGAGTAGGCGGTCCATTTCCTTGAACTTGTCGCTTGGCATATACGTAGATCGTATCGCGACAAACCTTGCGCTCGAAAAAAATATGTAGGTATCGCAAACTCGTCGCAGTCTTTTTAACGTGCTTGCATCTCGTTTCCTTTCAGACTGGCCAGCATGATATGATAGCAGCGACCGGAACAATCTCCCCTGAAACATGAAGAATCCTTATTTGCTCGCGAGCTTTTTACTGTTACCTCTGGCGCTGGGCTTGACCCTGCAGGAGGACGATCTGGTGTTCGACGATGTCGGCGAAGAGAGCGCCAGCAGCACCGCTCCTACCGTCGTCAGTCGTCGCTTGGACGACTCGAGGATAAGTTGGCACGACCATAAGCGGTCACACGACTCCAGGCACCAGGTGAAGAGGTTGTGGAGCGTACCTCGCGTCGTCGTCCCAGTCGGACACGTACTTAAGCTGAGAATTCCGCGGCAACCGTTCGTCGAGCCCGCCGATTATTATCAGGTGAGGAAATGAACCAACCCCGCCACGCTCGCTCCATTTCTATCTCCCTCCGATTTTGGACGTTGGCCAGCAACCAACCTGTACCGATCTTGCACGTTCGCGAGTATCGTTTGGATTACATTTATTGCCTCGGCGGCCACCTTCTAGCCAGCAAGATAAAACAAACAATGAGAAAAGAAGGAAACTCGTGTAAAATTGTACGATCTTGCACGTATACAAATTAAAGAATACTCATTCCAATTACTATTTATTTATTTGCGAAAGTATGTAGGTATTATTCGGTAAATTTGAGTAATTCGTAAATTGATGTTTGTCGTGTGATCGATCGTGTTGAACTGTTATTACATATCGTTAGTTGGTCGACGCGAACGGAAAGCAGCTGATGCGTTGGTTGTACTGGGACGACGCAGCGTCGACTCTGATGGGCGTGCCGTCGAAAAAGGACGCGGGGAGTCATCGATTGAGCATCAAGGCCATCGGAATGCACGGCGAGACCGTGAAGGACCTGTTCGTTGTGCAGGTCGTTCCCGAGAACCACGAGGAACTAAAGCACAGAGATGGAAAGGTAAAGTTTTTATTTAAAGTTTGGCCCTAGCCAAGATATCGTGGCGAGGTTGTCGGTAGCGGTGAAAATATTCCGTTGGCAACGGTTCAAGTGTTTCCTGAACGAACAACAGGTATCTCCGATTTAGATTTTCATGGATCGATAATCTGTTATCGAGTTGGATACTTTTCCGTGGGCACGATCGAGCATTTAGGAACCTTTCGCGAATTTCTTTGTTTCTTTATGGATCGTAACAGTAACGCGCATAGTATAGTAACGCATGCCTTTCTTCGACTTGTTTCCTTTTTTAGGGCAGAACGATCGATCGTTAGAGTTCAGAGTTAAGATCCCTTTATTAGAGCTATTAACGTAACGATAAATCGATTAGCACGTTAATCGGACTTGTTTGACTGCCGCGATGCTAATTTTAATCGGGTGCGAGTAAATTTTTGCAATTTTGATAATTAAGTGGTCCCAATAACATCGATTTGTCTATCGTAATAATCGGTAAGCGTAATTGTTGGTATATGCTGAAAAAACTATACATATAGAATGGTGTAACGAAATTAAACTGAGACGGTATCGCATGTTAGGGTTGACGGTAAAGAAAAGAAAAAGAAAAGAAAAGGAAACTGTTTGGTACTCGCGTGCAAGCGTATCGTGGGATACAGAGTTGGCTGTTAACGTTAACAGAGTTACGCCGCGTGGAGCGCGATTACATCGGTATGCAACATTTAAATCCCGCGAAGAAATTAGTCTCGTAGACGCCGTTGATTGACGCCAATTGATAGTTTGCGCGCGGTATGCGTCAGCTTATCTCGTGTCTTTGCATTGCGCCGCAGACCGGCCTCAATTCTACGGCGACATTTCACACCGTTACGTTGCGTTGGTGAAACGTTGGTTGGCCACTGAAATAACACATTTCTGATTGTAGACGCACTGCAACGAAGGAGAGGATCAAACGATTCTGATGTTGTTGTTGAATGCGAGGTTCGACGATCTCTCACCGTCAGATCGAGTCAATACCATCACTAATCTCGCTGGATTCCTTGGACTTCACGTGGTACAGTATTTTCAGCCACCAGAGCCGCGCTGTATCCTCGAGCAATTTCCTCCTGGAACTTGTCAATCCCGTACAAGTACTTTTATTAACGTTTCGTCTCGTCAATTTCAAGTTATCTCCCGAATATTCGAAACGTATACATATGAACTTTAACCTTTGCAAGGAAATTAAAAACAAGAAGAATGTATCGTTATCGGACAATCTTAAGGTTCCCCCGAGAGAAAGATTCGCAGATGAACGAGTTAGCTAGAAGGATGTCGAGATATAACGCGTTTTCTTCTCCTCTGTAGTGGGGCTGCGATTAAATTAATTACGAATTCCCTCGGTGCGGTAAAAGGAAAAAGAAACGCCACTCTCAAAGGCGTCCAATTTATGCTCGCTGAAATGAAAAGGAGTTTCAACGCTGGGATACTTTTTAAGTTGAAAATTTGCAGTATTATGTCGAGGCTCGCGATGCACCTTCTATGCCAGGACGCACTGGGCCACTGGCGTGCGTCTGCGTCAGTGTCGCGTCGTAAAGGACCTACCAAGCTGACTTTATCAAATATTCTTTGACCAAGTCGGCATCGCTTTGCCTCGTTCCTCGGACTTGAAACAACCTCCGTTCACACTTTTCACCGATCTTTCGAAATTCGAAATTTCTCTTTTTACGTAAATTTAGTTTCCGTGATCGAGTCAATGGAATTATCTAGTCCAGTCTCATCGGAAATATTCGTATTTTTTCGATGGTTTCACTCGCCGAATTAGCCCCCTCGATGTTAAGGTCGAAAATATATATCGTTTGCGTTATCGAGCAGTCAAAGTAAATCAAAGTCTACAGAGACGAGTATTCTCGGAACCATTTGTTTTTCTTAATCGTTTCATTTTCCTTGATTTGAATTTTAGAGTGGCTTTTCGATGCACCCGGAAAGTGCCAAGGATAGCTCGAACATGGACTCGTCGGTGATTCTTAGCGGGCCTGGGAACTCGAAACACCGTAAAGAAAAACATTTCACCACTGTACAGTGGCAGGTGAGTCTCTCGTGGGTTTCGCGTTCTCGTCTAAACATCTGATTGCAAGCATTCGATCGATTCAACACATGCGTTGCGTTGCGTTGCGTTGCATTGCGTTGCGTTGCGTTGCGTTGCGTTGCGTTGCGTTGCGTTGCGTTGCGTTGCGTTGCGTTGCGTTGCGTTGCGTTGCGTTGCGTTGCGTTGCGTTGCGTTGCGTTGCGTTGCGTTGCGTTGCGTTGGATCCCTACGTGGATGGGTGTTCCACGTAGTTATAGTATAGCGAACAAAAACGAAACATAAAGTCTTTGACGCGCACGAGCGGTCCAGTCAGAAATTTGATATCGAAACGTTGTAATAGGTCGGCTGCGACGGTCACTTGTGGAGACATCAAACGGATTTAGTGAAACGATTGCGAGACCAAGCAAAGGATGGCACACTGGCCGAGGTTATGCAGCATCCAGTTTTGCTGTGGCGCGTCAAAACAGATTCAAACTCTTTACTGAGGAATCGAAGGGAAGTCGGCTCTGGAGAATTCGATAATACCGACGACTACGACGGCTACGATGATGATTACGAGTACGAGAATGGAGGGGAGGAAGACGACGAAGGAGACGGCGAGGACTCGCAAGTGCAACCGACTATTGTACCAGAAACGAACTCTCCTAGAGAACATTTTAGTCCGGAACACCCTCACAGACACCATCACGGAGAGGAGTCTATCGATTGGAACGTGAGTTTCAAAATACTTATTTATCGTATAATTTCTTTCATATATGTACATATCTACACACCGTACACGTGCTTCCAGACGGAAGTGATCGACGACAGAATCCCATTGGTGAACCAGGCGAATACAGCGGAAAATGCCGTGAACAGAACCACCACGGATACGGATACGGATACGGATACGGATACGGGCACAGACACAGACACAGACACAGACACGTCTCCGACCGTAAGTATCTGTTACATTACAGTACACTCGCCCGATCGTGTAATGTCGCATCATCGCGCACGACTTTGTATCTTTCAAATGGGAGATACAGCTGCGTACAGTTGCGAGTGGCTTTCGTTAAGAATTCTTATTTCTGTCCTTGATTCGCCATGCCAAATCGCTTGAAGGGAAACGTTGCGCTTAAAATACTTACATAAATTAGTCTAGTTGTGGGTACACTGCGTGTTCGATGCCGACCTATGCCAATCCCGCGCCGTTTTAGACGGTATCGATCGATGTATAGAAAGCGCTGTACGCCGAACTTGGCTTTTCGAAGGAATCGAAAGCCCGAGAGACCGCTGCGTACATCTTCTTCTTCTTCTTCTTCTTCTTCTTCTTCTTCTTCCATCGCTGTGTACCATCTTATCCTACCACGCTCTACCCTTCATTAATGTAACTAACCAAGTTTCTCGTGCCGTACAACGCATCTACTAACGATTTCGCAGACAACAACCACTGAACTTACATCACCACCATCAACAATCCCAACAACAACCACCACCATCACGACGACTACAACTTCGACAACCACTACGCAACAACCACCGTCAACGGCCACTGGTACTTTCACCACTAGCACAACAACGACTACCACAACAGCCGATACAAATGCAACATCAACAACAACAACAACAACAACAAGTAGCCCATCGACTACCATTGTTCCGTCGACGACAGAGCCTCCGCAACCGGAGACTACAGAGGAGTGGACGGATAACACCAGACACGAGGAGAACGAATCTATAAACGTCACGTCCGCAACTATGTCAGAAACCATCACCACCACCACTGCCAACTTTCCTTCGGTAATCGTTGTTCATTCTAGCACGGTCGGACCACCCACGACCGTCGTCGAGAGAACCGAGACAGACGTCAACAGTGGTGCTATGAATATCACTACGGAAGAGGTAATGCTTCGATGCTTAGTGCTTCTCATTTGTATTATAGTCCATGCTGCGCATAGTTATTATAGTTGATTTCACGAGTCTATCGCTTTGCCAACGGATTAGGTCGTTACGAACCCGAAATCATTCACCCTTGAGATGCACGTGGAACCGCGAGCCGCGTGTACGGGCCATGTCGTCAAACCTCCTGCCTCTTCAAAAGTTCGCCATTTTCGTTGAATACCACATTGATATACATACGAGTATATGCGTGAAAAATTAACCAAAGGAATACAGCTAGGCGACAAAGAGGCACGAATAAAACGCGCGTGATCCACTGTGCATCGTTGCGACGCGTCGCGTCGTCCCCTGCGTTCCGATCGGTGCCTCGACGCATCGAAACTTGGTCGAGTGATTCTTTCTCAGTTTTAAGACATGTTTTTTCTGACTTCAGCCGACGGAACATTCGTCAGTGCCTACGACGAAACCAACCACTACTCTAGTACCCACCGCGATACCTGCAAATCCCGCGACAACGTTCATCGCCGCAAATACCAGTACTCTGTCAACGATTCTTGTCACGAATCCCACCACCACAACACCAATGCCAACGACAACACAGATACAAACATTGCCACCCACTGTATCCACCACCTATACCTACACCGTCATGGTTCCATCTACAACCACCACAATAGCCAGCATGAGCACCAGCACGACAACCAGCACTCCGACAACGACCAACGTTACCGCTGAATCACCCAGGGTAACCACGGAAAACGTAGAGTACGGAGTTCGCAACTCTCCACCCAGACAGGATAGAAGGCTGAAGAAGATACCGGTGACCGCTGGAAAACCGTTGAGCTACGTCATACCGTCTGACACGTTCAGTGATTTCGAGGACGGAGACACCAGGAGGCTGAGGCTGAATTTGTATCTACAGGGAGCACCGTTGAAGATGACTCATTGGCTTCAGTTCAATCGGAACACGCAGGAAGTTTATGGACTGTAAGTGATATTTCGTGATCCAGAAACAATTCGATTTACTCGATTACTCGATTACTCGATTACTCGATTACTCGATTACTCGATTACTCGATTACTTGATTACTTTTGGCAACCGGATCAACTGTACACGGGGGAGAAACTGTTTTACCAAAAATTCGATATCGACATTATTCGTTTGCTTGTCAACTCGCTATATCGAAAAGCCAAGATAACAAGTGGAAATAATATTTTTCTTTGTTATTGTTCTCGAACAGGCCCTTGGAGAACGACATTTCAACCTGGACGTACGAATTGGTTGCTGCAGACAGCGAAGGCCTAAACGTGACCGATCGATTGGATATTCACGTGCAACAGCATAAGCTCAGTCGCAGTGTGAACCACGAGTTCAGTATTTATCTGAGGATCGATAAGCGCACCGAATTCCCCACCGACGTAGACTGGGAGCTCAGAGTACCTATCTGTTTGTCTTTCCGAAACTTTACGTTTATATTTTCCTGGAAATTTGTAATCGAACCCTTTATAACTCTGTTGCAGGTAATCCGAAGTATAGCCGAAGTATACGGCGACACCGACACGAAACACATCACCGTTCGATCGGTGGATATCGAACACGGCCAAGCAATTTTCACTTGGACCAATGATAGCCTGCCGAGAAGCAGCGAGTGTCCCAAGGAATATATCGATAATCTGTTGAACGTAAGTAGCTTTACGGTTACGCTATATCTCGTAAAGGCCAAGTTTTCCAACGATCTAATCAGAAACATTTAGGTTCTGATCGATAAGAACGGCGATCCTAGTTTCGCGTTAAGAAACGTTCTTCAACCCGAAATCGCAGTGAAACGTGTGGTGTACCAAGGTATCGGACAGTGCGAGGATACAAGTCGGCCAGAACCGCCTAAAGTTTCCACTCAAGAACCCAAGTCCAACATCTCGCCAGTGCCGAGGAACCAAGTGGATCTCGTCAATGCTACCGTTGGCCAGCTTCTCGTGTTCAAAGTGCCAGAAGTATGTTGATATATTCATTTGAAATACAACCATTAACGGTTACAATTAAACCTTGTAACGTACGATACATTTTAGGACACGTTCTACGACGTTGAAGATGGTTCTGCCAGAAATATGCGGATGTCGCTTTTGACTATCGATCGCACGCCTATCCCAGATCACGAGTGGCTGCAATTCGATAACAAGAATCAAGAATTCTATGGTGTGCCTATGCGCAGTGACGTCGGACGCAAAGAGTACCAACTGGTTGTCACCGATAAAGACGGTAAGACGGTTATTTCGTAGAATTGGGACAGTTACTCGTGAAATTTGCTCGACGACAAAACCTTAAACATTTCAGGCGCGAGCACTACCGACGGTCTAGTCGTAGTCGTCCACCCTGCCCCCTTGATGCACCACACGGTCGAGTTCTCGATGACATTGGACATTCCGTACGAGTCGTTTGCGCATTCAGCTCTACAAAAACGTAATTTTGTCGAGAAGCTGCGCGATCTCTACCAAGACAAAGACACCAGCGCGATATCGTTGCACAGCATATCGAACGGGAGCACAGTGATCGCGTGGCATAACAGAACTCTACCCACGTCGTACTGCGCCCACGAGGAGGTGACCAGACTCCGCTCGGTGCTGGTGAACGACAACGATCGTCGATCCGTCACGGATGAGGTTCTGGAGATTATGGGTCAGAAATTCCCAGTGAAACAGATCACGGTGATTCCGATGGGCATTTGCGTCGGCGAAGTGACCCACGTTCATTCGCCGGATAACAACGTTCCACCAGTAGACGATTCTACCTCGGTTGGAGCCTTCCACGACGACTATCTTATCACGTTCGTCCTTCCTGCTATAATCATAGCCGCGATGCTCGTTCTGGCAGGTATCATCGCCTGTGTACTGTACAGACGAAGACGTAGCGGAAAGATGAGCGTCAGCGAGCAGGACGACGAGAGGCAGAGTTTCCGTAGCAAGGGAATACCAGTGATCTTCCAGGACGAGCTAGACGAGAAACCAGATCCGGGTGAGAATACAGCGTTTAGGTGTCGTGCTTTCGAAAATTGATCGAAACTACTGGTACTCGTTTACAACTACGGCTACAATTTACAACTCGTCGAATAATCGTCTCATTGTTCTTGCAACACCTAATACTTGCTATATAATACCTAATAGATAAGAATTGCCTAATTTAAAAGATCGCGAGGGTATCTTTCTGTTTGCTACAGGTAACAAGTCACCGGTCATTTTGAAGGAGGAGAAACCACCTCTACCGCCTCCCGAATATCAAAAAACTGAAGACGGAGCAGACGTTCCTATGTTGGCAAAAGAGAATTCGGAGGAACCGTATCAGCCGCCGCCGCCATTCGCCACGAACCGAGACACCAATCGTCAGAATCGCCCCAAGCCTACCCCGACGTACAGGAAACCACCTCCCTACGTGCCCCCCTAACAAAATACGGTTCATTCGCCCACGCGTAAATATATGCTAGCAATGCTCGGAGACTCCCCAATTCACACGCAAAACCAAAATAATTACCAGACGAAGCCTCAGCTTGCCGTTGACGTCGATAGCTGCGGATCTCGGAACGTGTACAGCAATCTGTAAGGCTTTAGTTCATCCGGTATCATCGAGGTATATACCACGCAGATGAAAATTCGTTTATTCGTTTGCGAGGACACGCTGAACAAAATCGCGCGTCGCACAATTCATTTCTTTCTTTCTTTTTTTCTCTTTTTCTTTCATTTCACTTACTTGTTTTTATATATAAGCAACATCGTTCGTTTGCCGCTGTTCAGCCGCGGTAAGATACAACAATTTAAGAGAGATCCCATCAACGAGATCCTCGAATAATCTATCTATCTCTCTCTCTCCCTCCCGCCCCCCCCCCCCCCCCACTTTGTGTGTGTGTGCGCGCGCGTGTGTGTGTGTGCGCGCATGCGTGTGTGCGTGTGTGCGCAATTTTTCATTATCAATCGATTCTGTATTTCACGGGAAATTTTTCTAGGGAATATGGGGATACAAATCACGCGTTGCCTTTTGTAACGAATTCAAACTGTAGAGGAGAGAAAAAGATTCACTGCTCCAGACCGGGTTCAGCGGATTTAGGTTTTAGGTTTACCGGTAGAACCAAACATACATCGATTGTTACGGCGACGTATTCGATCCGATGTGACGGACTCGGGGACAGCAACGATACTCGTAAAATATTTCAGTAATCAGTGCCATTTTTGTAAGCAATAAGAGTATACTGCCGCGAGGACAAACCACGCGTAGTATGGTTCTACGACTTGACGCAGTTAAAACTGTTGTTAAACGGTCTCGAAGTATCAATGAATATTGACTAAACGAATCTTCTTATCGTACAACATACCTACAACGTGTAACACTGCCAGTTGATTTAAAAACAGATAAAAAAAGAAACCAGAAGTTTCGAAGTATTAATAGAAGGAGAAGAAAAAGTAGAAGCAACGTAACTTATCGTCGGATGAGGTAGCTGCTCGTCAATCGAGAAGGAATATGGAAAACAATGGACGGAATTAAATCATGATCAACCCGTCCGACGGTCGGTTATCGAATCAAAGAATTAATCTTAGAGAGAACTGAGAATTTAAAAAAAAAAAAAACTTAAACGAATGTATTCGTTCGTGCGATGCCATTGCAAACGTGACAGCAAAATGCTTCCATTGGCACTGTAGGCCATGCAGAATAACAAAAAAAAAAAAAAGGGAAGAGATACTAATACTAATACTGATACTAATACTAATACTAATAATAATAATAATAATAATAATAATGATAACAACAACAACAATATATATATAAGTATGTACATTACCTAATTGTCGTTCGATAGAGAGTCTGCAGTAATTAAAACTTAGATGAATGTCGTTCAGTGCTACCAGACATACGTCATAGCATTTACGTTTCCTTTACTTCTATTTCGTTTACTGCACAACGTAACACTGTACAGAGAAAGCTTTCTGTTTGTTTTTTACGCACAATCTGACAATTTTTTTTTTTTTTTTTTATTATTATTATTTTTTGTAACGCTCTGTAACTTTCGTCTGTAAGATTTTGCATTCGACTCTTATTTTACGATGAAAAACTTTTTACAAGTTTTTAAGGTGTATGTTGAATACGTTTTAAAACTACCCGAAACGTTGAGGACGAAAGTTATTTAATTTAAACATTTACATAGTTACCAAGCCAAAAGATACTTATTTAACGAAGAATGGAGAGAGAGTGGACAAAAGGTGGAGAATAAGGTAACGAGAAACCCGTTTAATAATGTATACAAAAAAGTTTGACCCATACCGTTTGCATAGGGTACATGTATACACGTGTTTTATAAATGATTTTTTATCTCGTCAAATGCTCTGTTGCAAGACTTTTACGTAATTCGAAGTGCGTTTTCTAGGTACGATACGGGTATATGCGTACGCCGTTTTTTCAACATCTCGATAATTTCCTAATATTTTTTGATGAAAAGGAAATGCGAGAGAAAAAAAGAGAAACGATATCTTTTGCGCACCTCGAATTTGAAGGCTCCTTTTACATTCGCTTGACAAAGACAGGTAGTCAACGAATCTGCAAATTTGGGGTCACTCCTACAAACTCGTGTGAATGATGATAATGATAATGATTGTGTATGTAGAATGATAAATGGACGTTTCGTATGCAAGCTAAATTACGATATAATATATTACTATTAATTCACATCTTTATAATGTAGAAAATTTAAGTATATTTACACGACAAATCTTTTTTCATCGCACCTTGTTTATCGCAGTGTGTACCCAACGAAATACACTTGATCCATGAAACGGAAGCGTTACGTTGATCCGTGACTAATACGGGATGAGATATAATTCGTAACGAATCGATTTGGAAATGCGAAATAAAATTGATTCATACCACGCCTCGTTTGGCAGAAAGGGCTTGAGTCGAGCTTGAAAATTCATCAACTATATATGTGTCTGCTCAACTGTACCTTTGAAAATCTTCTACATACCTTTGATGATACCTCGTAATATCTGTTTTTATGTGTACAAATGAATAATGACGTCCCTGAAAATAATACAACGGGTTTTTATCGTTTATTCGTTCTTTTAACTCTCTATCGTAGGTATAATGTACGCAAAATCGGTAATTCAAGAAAAAGTATTTAGCTCAAACTAATAAATTAATACATTTACGGATATATACACAAGTAATGAAAAAGCGAAACGAAACGAAACGAAACGAAACGAAACGAAATTCATACAATGAACCGTTTACTGGCTAATAATTCGGAGTTTTATTATCGTACGGATCACATCTTACTACTCAATTTACTTAAAAATGAAACTGTCTAGAAAAGAATGTAACACGTTACCATTCATTCTTGGACGAATTATGTCCCATTTCCGTGTACTCGACAGAGATGGACAAAATTCTGATCCAAGTAAGAAATTTGGAAAAAGTAACAATCGGAATGGTGCGTAACGTCAAAGATCGGCGACGATTGTTCGCAATTCGTAACAATAATCGCTAATCAGTAACGAGTGTCGGTTCAGTGGTCGGCAATTTGTATTCGTTGTCTGTTATTCAAACAAAATTCTGTCCATCTCTGGTATTTACTCGACTAGCGAAACCTCGGAAATATTTTCTATTTTTGTATAACGTTTTAGCGTAGCTCCTCCTGAAGAAAATTGAAGCGACACGGTCCAGGAGGTAACCGCGCTCGAGCTTCGCTAACCTCGATATCTTTTTTTGTACGAAAGGCTCGAGCCGCGGGCAAGCTCCGCGAGCACGTGAGGACTACTTACGTACGATTAGTTAGTTAGGCATCTCCCCCGAACCCTGGTTACGCGCTGCGATAAGAAAGGACACTCGATATCATGCTTTTAATCATATCATCGCTCTAACGCGTAACTCACAACCGCTGCAATTGTGTTACCGTAACAAAACGAACAAACAAGAAGAGAACAATGACAATTATGTATGATAAATGTGTACAATATTTAATAAGACCGGGACACATTCGTGTAAAGATGGTGAGTCGAAAGAGGACGAGAGACAAACAGATGTTTTTGAGGTGTAACAAGACGAGAATTTTCGTTTAACTTGTCAGAGTGGTTCGAAAGTATTTTGTGTATATAAAAAAAAAAAAAAAAAAAAAAAAGGAAGAAGAAGAAGAAGAAGAAGAAGAAGAGGAAGAAGAAGAAGAAAACAGCGAGAAAGAGAAAACGAATGGTTAAGAATCGTTGGACTAATGTGAAAGTAAGAGAGAATGCAAGTTGGACCCCGATTCCCGATTAAAGCAAACGAAAATGTTCCACTGGAAACGAGAAAATACGATTGCGGCGCGGCGTCGCGCATAGGAATTTCTTATACACACACACACAACGCTATATATGTATAAGAATACATATTGACTGGGATTTTCAAATTATTTTTGTTTGCCGTAGCGTAACAAATCGAAGGGAAGAAACGTTCTTTGCAGTTCGCATCGGTCGAGGCGTCCAATTCCGAGCGAAAGATAAACGCGCTTGCTCGCGATCATCCTCGAGTGATGATGAGGCCGATAACGAACAAAGGAATATCGAAGTAATATCACACGTATACAGATATCTCTGACAAGTACTACATATTAAACATGTGTAAAGTTAAGGAGTTAATAAAGCCATTTTAGGATAGCCGGCATTTCTTTCTGATTGTAAGCGTTAATCGCGCTCGTCACTTGGAAGAAAATTCTTCTTTAATTTCGCAACGATGGATCTGATCCAAGTGAGCCGAGGTATGATTTCCAACGGTTTCACTATACCTTTTATTTTATTCTGAATGTTATTTCTTAGAGGGTTTACACCGAAATGGAGAGTAGTGTCCACCTCTCCACCTCTCCATAATTGTAAGTACATCAAGTTTTTCACTCTTGCCTTTGACTCCTAATTTGTTTATCGATCTCTGTCTCTGAATTCTTTATCTGAAAATATCTAATCTACATATAACGACTTGGTAAGCTATTAGAATTCCAAAATAAGCTATAACAACTGTTTTCTAAATGTTTTGCGTTTGAATCGAAAAACATTTCTATTCAACTTGAAATTGCGGGGCCATGCAACTCGCATATGGTATACCATATGTACTTGCATGCGCTTCACTGATACATGTTTCGTTTTTACAAAGAGCAATTGGAACAAGGTACTGCGCGCACACGTGAGTGTTTCGTGATGAAAAGTTGGCGTCTGGCGTGGCACTCGATGCAGTCGTTTACGTAAACGATTGACAATGACTTAACGAGGATTAATTAGATTGGACCTGGTAAAGAATTCTCGCGACGGATCGTTACCGTGGCCTCGCTTTTGACTTTGAAGTTGTACGCCCGTGTTGTTTGTTTTCTCAAACGATTACGCTTCTTTACCAACTTTTACCGTTCTCCTTTGAGAGATCCTCAGAGATGCCACTAGAGATGGGGGAACTTTATTCGAACAATAGATGGCAATAAAAGAATAATTTCTTTGCGAAAGTCGCTCGCAATAAATGCATACCTACATCTACATCTACATTTACTTATATCACAAAAGTAAACGTTGACGCTGAAATGTAGTTGAAAGAACACTGTTGCGTATCTCATTAGCATTTCCAGCCCGATCGGTAGTCACGCTAATGACTAATGCGCATAACAACAGGCTAGCAGGATCTACCGAGTAGTCTAACCAAATTAGTGCGAATTACGGTTTGCATAAATCGTTTCGACGACGATAAGTACCCGTGGAAATATTTTTATATACCAGCTAGTGGAAAAATGATACGAGATGAAACAGAAATTTAAACTGTACTCGACATGTTGGAGAGAATTAATTAAAGTAGGATATTCCAATTCGTAAATGTATAATTAATTTATTGATATCTACCGTAATTTGGTTAAATTTTGGTCTGTACAATGTTAAGTTTAGAAAAAGTTCAAAGTTTAATCATTTGCCTACCGTTACAAAGAGTAACATGTTGGTTCCGATTATTTTCGTATCGAATTTGAGAGAATGATCATCGATTGGCAAATATTTATCACATTTGCTGACACAGCGTAGCGCTACGTCCTGACGATTTCGAATTCGTAATCTCTAGTTAATACGGAACGGTTTAATTACCATGAAGGTCGAACGAAACGACGATTACGTAATAGTTTGAGAAGAATTCAAACCAAGTATCGTTTCTCGTTGACCAGCATTGAAAATTAAAATGCAAAGTCGATCGCATTCGTGCGGCTCTCGGTGAATGTATAATTGTACGGAAACACATCGCGCGGCCGATAGAAATTAACTTTATTTCTGAAACGTTGAAAACAATCGACTCGAACGGTAGATCGTTAAAGTTAAAGAAAAGTATGAACGTTCCAATGACGAGTTTTACGATGGAATTTGCTGGGAATTTATTCATTTTCATTGGAAGCATAGGAGTGCGGCCAGCTTCTTTATTGATATAACGAAGACAAAACGATGCGACGCCGACCACGCGAACATCGGGCACGTTCCATGACATAACACTGACGTGACAATGTTATCCAAGCTCGATGAAATTAAAGTGGCACGATCTTCTCGATCCGAGTTCTTCGTTGCCTCTCCTCTCTACGCGTAAGGAGATGGAACTCTACGCTTTTCTTCAGCTTCTTTCGAATCTACTCATCGTCGTCAGAGTTTCGTTGGATACGCTAATATAGATACTATATTCGATATTCGCGGTGAATCATTGGCATCATTGCTTTTTCCGAGCTAACTGTGTTTATTTTGTATGACAGTTTCCAGCAGGGTACGAATATGTATAATATAAATCATTTTTGTTATACACATTTCTAATGATAACATGTTCTTCTTCTTCTTCTTCTTCTTCTTGGAAAACGAAAAGTGACCGTTTCTGCTTAAAATATTCCAATAAACGGATGCGGGCGTCAAGTACCAACGTTTATTTTCACTACTCTGTTTACTCGTTGGAAGATGATGAAACGCACAGACGCAAATCGGATTTCACCAGAACAAAATAAATATTCTTTTTGAATATAAATTTGTACGTACTGGTAATTACTCATGAATGACGACGATGAAAATAATAACAATTTGATTATCTATAAGAAACATTGAACGGAGAGTATACTTGAGACGAAATGGACAAGTTAAGTCTAACTAATCTAATCTCTTCTCTCATCGGTCATGAATGATAAATCCGTGTTAGCACTCGATTAATTGTCGAGTCGTTGAACGCGATCTTTGGTGAAATTTTCAGGTTGCTACGCAACTACTCGAAATGTTTAAAGTTTAAAGAACAGAGACGGTCGTCGCGTAACCGAGCGAAGAATGTTTAGAAGCGCAAGTGCTCGATAGCGTATTTGATTTCTCGGTTGTAGGACGATAGATGGGTGTCATGTTAGCTTATCTTGCCATCAAGATTAATCGTGATCGCTTTACGACTAGACGGAATTAGAAAAAGTTACTTTCTCATGGAGTCTTTGGCGTTGGCAAACATTTTCTTAAATCATCGACAAAGATAAAATGGTTATTTCGTTAGATCGAAAGATGGCCATAAACCTCGTAAACATTCATCTATCGACAATTTGTTCAATGTTAACGATACTTTTGCTTTACCCTGCGTAAAAATGTCGTGCTTTGCAACTGAGAATGCAACCTCCAGATACGAGGTGGTAAAACTACCAAAAATTGAGTAAACGATCATATCGGTTACGTCTGTAAAACCGTAAATACGTAAATGTTATGTTAAATAGTATCGAAATTTGTTGAAGTGATTTGTATATGGATAAGGATATGCAAATATTTGAAAAAGCACGAGTTAGCAAAATGATCGATGTCGATCATAAGTAAGCACGTGCTAAGGTGCACATGGCGGGATTGGTGGGGTAAGTTTGCGGGCACGTGTAAACAAGTACCGGCGCACGCGCAGTCGGTCTCTCCGGTGAGATATGGGTCACGTGACAGGGCCCGCGTATAAAATCCAGCGATCGGCCGGCCGGTGTCACATTCGTCAACGATCTCTCCAGGGACTAGGTAAACGCCTTTCGGTTCGCATCGCACAAGAAAGAAGAAAGGAAAAAAGTTGGAAAGCCCTCTCAAACATATACATATATATATATATATATATATTGATTCGTTCAATTTGAGACGAGTGCGATCAAAAAGTTTCCATATACGCAACGCGACCGTTCGAAACACAAAGTACAAAATAGAAACGGAGCAAAAACCAGTTTAAACTGTCGAGCTGTCAATCGACTCTCGATATCTCGTTTCGAGTTGGAATCAACCATCGCCGTCAGTGTATTCGATCAGTGTAAATTTCTTTCGAATCAAGAAACAAACGTTAGAGTGACGTGTTCGGTTTAATCGAGGACCAGAAGTGGACAAGACGACTCCGTGCAAACTCTACTCGGATCTCAATTTCGCGGATCTTAATTTTCGATAAGACGGTCATCGTTTCCCGTGATGGAGGATAAAAACCAATGGGACTATTCTCTCCAAAATGGTGAGCTTCTATTTTCATTAATTTTTTGTTTCTTTTGCGATTGATCGGTTGGTTGGATGGTTCGATTCGCAAAGTCAATTTTCACTCATGTAGCATTTTTTACTAAAAAATCGTTTCTGTAAGTGAGTGAGTAAGTAAGTAAGTAAGTAAGTAAGTAAGTAAAGCTGATGTAAAACACTTTTTACCATAGTTGTAGGACGATAGATTATTGAACGAGAGTATACTTGAGAGCAAAATCTTATCATAATAAAGGTTTGCGGTACGTTGATCGGAACTTGACATTTTTATAAGTTTTCAAAGAATCGAGGAAACCGTAAGACTCGAACAATGCTCGTGGAAATCAATCTCAGTCGTGACTAACGATAAGAAATTTTATTATTTTTTATCCAACTATAATACCGAAGCGACGCCGACGGCGACGGTAAGATAAAATTGTTCTCGATCGATTTAACAAAATGTATAATTGTTGTTCAGACTTGGCAAACACGTATCGTTATATTGTTCTACTTTCTTTCTTTTTATTAAACAAAACGTACAACGAATGAATCATCCGTTTCCTGTGGTCTTATTTAAAACGATAAAAAAGAAAAGAAAAGAGATAAAATCCGATACGACAAACGGAAAGGAATATCGAACTTGCCAATTGTTACCATTCAAAGCATATCTATGAAACTTGATGCATATTCGCGAAGCGTATAGATTAGATACGATAACATCCAGTCGGTCAATGTTATTGTTTCGATTTTACCGGTACGTCCTTTTATTACTATTATAATTGTGTTTTGTATTATCGTTGAAACGTGCTTATTAAGAATTACAATACCTTGCTTCTGTACAATCGAGAAAGTAAGAAACGGATAATTTACCGCGTAAGACGAGTAGTAGTTGGCAGTGTCCCGTTCGAATTCGTAATTTGTAATCCAAGACATCATACGTATACATACCTATGGACTTGTAATTGTACATACTTTGAGGTAGAACTCGGTCAGAGATAGAGTTGAATCTTAAGTTTCGATTATGTTGAAGGTGTATCGTCGATATTATTGATCGGCAATCGCGTTGGCGGTATTCGTAAAGAGAATAACTTGATACATGTATACATATTTAACCGAGGAAGTGCTCGTCTAAATATTGCAGCCACATCCGTGGTCAGGAATAAGCTAGTTAAATTTTTCGATGGAGAAGTAGATTCATGGATTTTAATAAAACTTGATTAAATAGTAGTTTTCGACTCGGTTTGTTTCGAGAAAACTATCAGATGATGAGTTGTTAAATCTTTTATTCGTTATTCGATGTATTTTGTTCCTAGATAACACGTTTGTCCGTGTTGATCCGGTTGTATCGTGTATATCCTTACGTAACGAATGTAACGTACATCGATCGTAGATATGATGTTTGAAAAGAAAACAATAAATAGTATGCCTCGAATATGATGGTGGCCGCCTTCTCGTTGGAATCGAAACGAACTTGAAATTGGAAAATATGGCGCACACACACACACACACACACACACACACACACACACACACACACACACACACACACACACACACACACACACACACACACACACACACACACAAAATTGGTTTGGTAGATAGGATTTCGTGGCGGGGGGGTTCGATTCGGCACGGTGTCACGATGACACCAAAGCTCACTGACCTAAGGGCATTGTCTTCGAGTTCGAATGCGGCGCGGGCGTCCCAGTCGTGCCAAGGGACCGGACGGGACGGCCGTGCCGCGGCTTTGCCCTCGGCCAGGCTATAGAGCACGGGACACCACCGAGTCCGTGGCTAAAGGAAAATCAATAATTTTCCTCGTTTTGCTTCAGGCCGATGCACTTGTTCTCTCCTAACAGGCATAGGCGTGTCTATTCTGTGGTCGTTCTATCGTTGCGAAAGAGTTATAGGTACGCATCGGAGAGCCGTGTACTCGGGTCTCGCGTCTCGCGTCTCGCGTCTCGCGCCTCTCGCCTCGCGCCTCGCGCATAGGTACCAGTCGGATAACCTGTGAAACGTGTATAAACCACGTGGAAACGGTCGTACATACATTGTACCGACTGTGGACACGTAAATATAACGCGAGAGCGAAAGGGAAGCACGTGCATACAAGTACGCTTGTAACGGAGGTACGAAGATGCACGTGTTCCCAGATCGCATACGATGCAGCTAGAGTTAGCAACCGTACTCTTGAAATACAGTCAGAGTGTATGTATAGGTACACGTAGACGCGTACACTCTTTTCCAAGTGGCAAAACAATGTACTCTTATTTTTCATTTGTCCTAGTCAACATTTATCCACATTTATTATTTAAGCCATGAGGTGCAAGGTGAAAGAGCCGAGCCGTTGGTCAAAGAAAGATGATGTAGTAGTTACCGTATAACGCAAATAGATGAAACAAAGTGAAATGTAGACGAAAGACTGCGCGAGCGTGCAGGAGACGAGTCGCAGACCCAGTTTCGTTTCGTCGGTTTACTTGGTTACCGTGCACACTGCTCACCCCCTCCAAAATGCCCTTAATCCGGAGCCAATTTGTCAGCGTGTTATCTTTGAACCAGCATGAGTGCAATTGCAAACTCTTGCGAATACCGTGATTTGCATAAATTCCTAGCCGGCGCGGCGCGGCGCGGCGCAGCGGCGTGCAGATCGACGATTAAGTCATTTGCTTTCCGACCGTGTACAGTGTACCCTATCCGCTTGACTCGGCCAACTGGATAACTATCCCGATTCTTACAAAATCTACCCAATTTAAAGAAATTTAAAAATTGTATATACTATAGTTGTACGCGTAAGGCGATTTAAAGGACCAGTTATTTTATTTGAAACATAAATGTTTTTTCCACTATCCGTCAAGATGTTAAAAACTTGAAGTTTGTTCTGCTTCGAGATATCCTAGATGTGTAAAACAAGTTTTCCATAATATACTTTAAGTAGACACGCGTTCCGTTGTGTATCAGCCGAGGAAAAAATCTCGGATACAATAATTTTGTATTGCTCGCGGCGGCAACAACGACGCCGACGCGACGGTCCGAAGGCGCTGTTGAAATTCACCCTAATGTTTTTTCCTTCAGTTCGTCACACACATGCAACGAAATTGGGGTCATAGAGGGAATTTCGTTCGTTACAGAATGATCGAGGTCGACGTCCTCGTTCAATGACGCAACTACCTGCACCTGATTTACGCGTCGGATACGGTTCGAGTAGTTTTCACATCAACATTAAACCATTAAATGATTAACGATTGCTATCGACAGGGGAAGAGGTTCACGCATCATACAGTTCTAAACACACAGGTTGTGACTTGTTTGTCGTGGTTCTATGTTTTATCGTTGTACGTATATCGATTTTAGCCGTTTCCGTACTGCACGCGTTCTCGATTTAATGCTCGATCAAAAGTAACTTTATTACGTTAAATCGCGAAATAAAGTTGCAATTATTACTACTACTACTATTATTATTATTATTATTATTATTATTTTAGGTCTGGAGCATGAAAAATGTTTACGCAGGGCATTCTTTAAAAATGTAGGTTCCGCGAGGTAAAATCGAATCTAGCTGATAGCGTTTTAATGCATGTAAAATGTAGGCACCAACAACAGGTATCCGGTGAAAATAAAAGAATTCCTACTGGCGTCTCTGTGCGAACTTGACTCATTCTCAAATATGGAACACAATAGGCTGAACAGGAAGGCGTGACGTGTGTACATACACATTTATGAATATATGTATGTGTTTTCTTTCCCAATCCGGCTTCACGTAAAAGGCGCGTATACATAGGCACTGTTGCTTGCTCGTAAAGAGGATTGAATCGTAGGATCGAATACGCGTACACATAGAGAGAAAATTATACATCTCGGGCGACCGTGACGCGGAAATCCAACCGAAGCAGAATCTTATCGAAAATTTCATTTCAGTTTACTAATCGTGTTTATTTGGTATTCGATGGGATATTAAGTGCATGAAATATGGAACAAAGTATCGGTCTGTAGACTTAATAAAAAGTAACCGCGAAGGTCCGAGGAGAAATGAAGGCGATTCCCTGCGAAACCGTGATCTCTGATCAGCGCACCGTGTTATGTCTCGCGTTTTCTCGTGGCTCGTTCGGCAAGGTTGAACGAACCTTCAAACAGATCTCGACGACCTCGAGACGTTATTCTTCCTCTTGGAACGTACCGAGCTCTGTGATCGTTCGCCGTCAATAGAAATCTCAATCGGACAGGACTATGTTGTTTGGGCTATGCATCACATACCAGCTCGCCGCGTTATCAACTGAAAGCTTCTTAAAATAGAAACTAACGACTGGTTCGGACAAAGATGGATATCGTGATCGTGATTAAGATATCCAATCTTACCTACTATTCAAATAGTTTGATAACACCAGGTGACTTTACTCGCCGAATAATAGATGACAATCGTTACATTTTTCTATCTATTTTGTTTTGTTTTGTGAAAGATTTTGTCCATCTTTAGATTTAGATGGACCAAGGCGATGACACGTTCTTCTTGTACGAAAACAAGGTTAAAACAGATACGTATTCGGTGTATAGAAGCGCATCACGGTCGACCGAATAGATGTACAAGTATCACACTTGGCACAGTAATGGACCGTGACGATCGTGAACCGGCGGGCATAATCGCAATTGCGTCGCGCGATTGTCATCATCACGTGCTGTTTAGCAGATGCAAACCACGCGGTTCGACCGATAAAGAAACGTCTGCGCGGGATAGTTGTAATTTGTAATCGGTATACCTGAAAGAGAGTGTTTTCCCTCGATAATTGTTATTTATATTGAATATATTTGAACATGCGAGAGGGTTTCAGGATGGAAACACAAATCTGTGCCAAATGATTTTTATTTCGACAACTTGCTGAAAATCCACCGGGCGACTGACGCTCCGAGGCCGGCAATGCTTGCGTGCCGTCAAAAGAGCGCTGATCGACGAATCCTTATACAAACAAAGTTTCAATCAAAGCAATGCCAGCAATTCATCATCGCATAATTATTTCGGACGCTGCTACCGAGAATGTTAGCAACGACGCGATAACTTTGTCGCGTAGATTTCGTTAAGGAACATTAGTTTGTCGATGAACCATGTACGATTATTCAATTATTCACTGGTAATAATCGTGTTTGACGAACCGTGTTTGCGCAGTACAAGTAGAAAAGCACCGTCATGCGGGTCACACGTCGAGTGGTAGTAGAATAGATGCAAATGTATGAATGCGAAAAATCAACGAACCGAACATTAGGTATTTTCCAAGTTGCAATTTCCAATTGCTAATTTTCTCGCGAGCAAACAAGATTGTAACATAAATGATGAAAATTGACAGACGAAGAATTTGATTTATCTTTGTTTTACGGGGAACAATGACTGACGTTACGCTGTACATATAGCCACATACGTACATTATAGTAATTGGTGGTTTCAAGGTTTCAGACACTAGGTACACGGACGGTGTCGAAAGACACGAGACGTTTACAAGAATGACTCTATCGCAAACGATATCGGTATCGCGTGTCGCGACGAAGAAAGGTTCATAGAGTGGCACGTGACATACGCCGCCCATGATAATGAGTTTCTTAAAGTAGGCGATAATTTATCCCGTTTGTCAGCGGAGCGGCACCAGTGGTCGCTATTTTCACACGATATCTGTTGCATAATCCGTGCTTGCATTTGGTAGCGTTATCATCGGCGCGCTATCAATGTCTTTACGTTCCAATGTCCTTACCATGGTCTGGTGTTATCACGGCATGGTACATAATATTAAGGAAGGAGGAATTTGGTTGTTGCAGGACCCAGCACATGGGTAACGAAGTTTCCAATGGCGGCAGGCTCCAGGCAGAGTCCGGTGAACATTGAAACCGATCGTGTAGAATCCGACCACGAGGCTCTAAGTAGCAAACCCCTTCGATGGAAGTATCCGGCCACGGCTTCCCGGAAGCTCATTAATCCGGGTTATTGCTGGCGCATAGACACCGACGGTGTGGGCACACGTAAGTTTCCGTTAATATTCCATCGGTGATTGGTCTACCAAGTGTTGGTAGAAATCGTAGCTTGTCGATTCCGTCGTGTAACCCTTTTGTGCGACCCGACGCGACCCGACGCGACCCGACGCGACTCGACGCGCGGCGAAACAACGGCTGAAGAGCTCTCGGGGTTTAAAAAACGGCGCGGACGTGTCGTGGGCGACTAGTCGATGCATTTACATGCAAAGCTAAGAACTCGCGTTCGTTAGCTGAAAGTTGGACGCGCATATCCGAGCGAAACGATTGCGATCGTTGATCGATCGGCAGGCAGCATTGAATTGCAGATTGGCCGCGAATGCTGCAAATACATCTCGAAATTGGCTCTCGACTCTCGACCGTTGATGATTTCTTGGGACGAGGTCTGTCTCGCTTGCAAGTTGCGAGACTAGAGCGTCGGCGTCGGCGTCGTCCATGTCGATGTCGGTCAGGAATAGGATCATCGATCCTCTGGTCGCTTTAAGAAATACGAATCAAGCGATTATCGTTGGTTTGTTTTTAATCTCGGAGACACACTGGCTCGATAACTATAATCACCTCGCGATAAACGGCCTCCCGAAAAGTAAGAAATCCGGTATGGTCATCATCTTTCGATCTTTCGACTATATGCGACTAGCGTTATTCAATCCCGAATGTTTGCTCGTTAAAAGCGACCGATTTAATCTCAACCGGTTCAAAGTAGATTTTAACATAGTATTAACCGCGAGCTGAAGCCTGCTGCTTGGTTGGGCGAGCAGGCCACGAAACGCGCGGCTCTAATCGTTCCTTTCCGACACCGTTAAGAGAAACTCGGCAGAAAAGCTCGAGTTTGCGCTCCCTTGTTGATAAAAGCGAAATCTCGCAATTATTAAACTTAATCCTCGTCGCATTCAACAACTACCGACCTTACAAATTATACGCCGGATTCAAAAGCAGACTCTAGGAAAATTGCATGAAACGGAAACGAACGTTTTCGATAAGTCGATCGGTCGTTGAGTTGTTTTACTTGAAAGCACAAAGAATTTTACTCTATTAACGAATCCAAATTATCAATAGGTAGAATCAATATTTATCTATGCTTCGATATAACGACGATATCGAACAAGTTTTACAAAATGTCCTATTAGCAATGTTATAGGTGCAATTTGGTCTGTAATCGTATATTCTTTTTACTTGGATCGAGTATCAACCGAGTGTTAGTTTTGTCAATAGAACATGGATCGTCTAGAGATTAGAAACACCACGCAGAACTCGGTTTATCTATGTAGCATCATATAACAGTAAAGTAAAGTAAACGTTTTACGCACATGTTGATTCAACTGTTCGTACATAACATACCTATGTATATAGGTCGTTATCTTATCGTTCCGAATCAGCGATGCGTTGCCTATTATCGCTATAGTAATGCGAAATTGTAACTTTGATTATGCAACGAGTGTATCGCGGAAAAATGAAGCGACTTTGAAGTGTAGCGACCCGAAATGGATACGAGTGCTCGAAAATGTTGCCTTCTCGGATAAAAGTATCGGACGACGCCGACTCGACAAAGCGATGGTAAACGGCGAGCGTCTTTTTCTTCGAACGTTTCGACGGCAGTTTCGTGACGCTTAGGAGGCGCTATTACCTTCGCGGAGTGCTTGCCGCGTCGGCGGCAGTCGGTGTTCTCTTGAAACGAGGACGACCGTGCCGTGACGCATTATGCGTGCTCATATGTGGCAGGAACGAAACGTTTACATGACAGAAATAGAGCGGAATTTCAGGGAATCGATGCAAATTATGGTTCGAGCGGTGCGATACCGTGGCCCATTTGTTTCATTAACACGATGACAAATCGTTCGAGATGACCGACGAACGACGAATCCTCGTTCTTTCGTCGACCGGCAAACAGTTGTTTGCCTTTGACCAGCGCACCGTCAATATTTACTTGGTCGTTGGCACAAAGTAACTGCCGGACCACTCTGAAACGAACGGGTGCTTGCTTTGATTTGCGACACGAAGGAAACTTATAACGCGACCAGTCTAATCTCAGACCAATCTCAAGTACCGAACGAAAAAGTGATTTCCAATAATATTTTCTACGCGAAATATTTTCATGCCCGCGCAAACACGCAGACATATACATGTATTTATTCGTCCGATGTATTTCGTTAATAAAAATAACTCGCTCGTTGTCTGGACTATTTATGGTTCCCCCGTACTATTATACTATACATGTACCGTTCGAGTAATTCGGCTAATCAAGAGTTTCCTGTAATTCAACGCTTTCAAACGGTCTGCGTTCTTCATGATGCGAAGCGTGAGAAAGAAAGAGGTCGCGAAACTCGTTTTTATTCGTTTTTATTCGTTTTTATTCGTTTTTATTCGTTTTTATTCGTTTTTATTCGTTGTTATTCGTTACTCGGCCATCGAGTCTATCCGATTCATTGTAGTATTTTGCAACTCCGTATTATTTAAATACGCTTACGTCGTTCCATCTAAAACAAACTGGCGAGAAAGGTGATGTGTATCGTTTCGAGAAATTCGTAAACGTTTCGTTGTCTGCCCATTCGAAACGGATTTAAACGAAATGTCTAATAAATGAAATTATTATCGTCGTTCCAGTTTTGAGCGGTGGCCCGCTTATGGATGACATTTACAAACTCGAACAGTATCATTGTCACTGGGGATGCAGCGACTCTAGAGGGTCCGAGCACACCGTGGATGGACAGGCGTTCGCTGGCGAGGTATGTTTAAAGTTGACAAGAAAATTTGCATGTTTTGTTTTGTTTTGTTTTGTTTTTTATGTCGATTTTTATGTTTCGATTGTCGCCGTTTAGGTGGACGCAGAACAACAATACATTCGTATTATGTATAGCGTTCGCAGTTCTGAATGCCGTTGAAACGTAAAGAGCTTAAAAGAACGCGGTCGGGATAAGCGATTAACTGGTTCCTCCGACGCGACGATCGCAGTCAGCGTCTAGTCCGCGGTAGATGGTTAATAATTCACTCTCACGGAGCATGATTCGCGTCACGATCATCGCATCGGTGTACGATCTTATAGTCGCTTCGACCTTGTACGAACACGCGCACTCTACGTATCGTCCATGACTCGAAGATCGCGATGTTTGCGTTCGGAGAAAAAGAACCAGAAAAGAATTACCTTTGACAAGGTAATAGTTGTCTATTTTCGAAAGAAATAACGCGAAGGAAAGTAACGCATAGAGTTTAGGAATTGCGAAGCGTTACTCGCAATAGAAAAGTATACTCGAATACAAATAAATGATTCTAAAACAGTGGCTAGAGAAATGTACATATGTACGTAGCGATCGAAACGAGTACGTTGTATTTGGCCAAGTTTTTTTATCCATTTGCAAAGTGTTGTTCAGGACCAACGAGTACTCGGAATACGTGGTAACCATATTACTCCTAGAGGCGAACCGTACAAGTACAAGTTGATCTGGATTTATCTTGAATGATTGCGTGTCATTCATCATGGACGTGTCTAATCTTAGATTTCATATTTAAGGTTAAGAGGTTCTTTCTTGTCGACCGAATGCGCGAGATGTTCTTTTGTATGGGTAGTTTGTTAATAAGTATTGCTTGCGTGTTGCTTCTTTTGCTTCGTACACGTCACAAGAAACGAAGAAAACAACAAGTCTTGTTCGACGACTGTCTCATTCGTAGAAAACAGTTTACAATATTAATATCGACATATTAATTATTGTTTATTTCTTAAAAGTCATTTTGCACCTTACGTTTTCCGTACACGCATCTTGAAATGTTTCGTGTCGCAACAAGTTTAGACAAGCCGCGAACAACGCCAAGGGAAACGATTACGATGTAATTAGCGTTCTCATTGAGGCGGCAAACATTTGTATGGAAATTGTAATTGAATTATGTAAGAAACGTTTGAGACAAGTTGGCGTCATCGTTGTCCTCGAGCAATTCTAACACTTGTCGATGAACTCGTTTTACAAAAACTTTCAACGAACCTGGAATTATCCTACTATCCTTACTAAACTTGAACTGTTTGTGTATCAGAGTATGCTTATTCTTGTTTTAAATCGAACAAATATATGTACATCTCGACTCGTCTAACGAAAGTTTGCTATCTCTCTCGTCGAACCTACGGTTGAAAGTTACATTCATCTTCCAAGCACGTTTCTCTTGGGTTGTTGGATGCACTCGGAATGCACCAAAGAGAATGGACTTGGTTCTCAGCTGACGAGAAGCGCTCGCCAGATGGAAAATTTGTAGCGACACGTATCAGGCGTTAAGTCTGTAATTATTCAACGATTCAAACAAAATTCCTGATTGATGAAATGTTACATTTACCTACTCGAGAACTCGAGTAAAATTGCTATCTAGTATCGCGTTAGAAACACGTGTAATCGAAGGTGCCGAATAATGTGACGCGCATCCAGGAAATGGTGGAATAAGATAACATCGAATGACTAACGAGGTAGAAATCTTTTTTCAAAGTCACGCGCGATTACTTTTATTCATTGTATAAATATTTTTCGTAGCGTTATCGCGAGATGCATCGATTTCGCTGCAAAGGATCCGTTAACCGACAATGCGATATTCCATACACAACGAAACTTATCTTTCGAATTGTTTAAAGGACTATTATAGTCGTTAGATATACCGAGGTTTAGTTTCGTTTGCTTTCCAACGATTATCGGTGATGATTATAGGTCGAATCGACTCACGGAACAACAGTTTTCGCAAACGACTCGACGAGCCGGTTCGAAGACCGAGTCGTACGATGCAATTTCCAATTATTAACGTTGATTAAATAACCAACTGCTATTATCTGTTATCGTGATGCAAGCGACACGAGGAAAACTTGCGAGCAGTTTCTTTTTACAGTCTGTGCGCAAGAAAAATGATTGTAATTGTATCGGAAACCGAATCAACAGAATCAACGTTTAATCAACGTTCAATTTACACTTTTAACATTTCCTTCATTTCTTTTCGAAATTTATCCATTTTCGTTGATTTTGTTGCAGTTACATCTGGTACATTGGAACACTAGCAAGTACAATACCTTTGCCGAAGCTGCGAAAGCATCTGACGGCCTCGCTGTTCTCGGGGTTTTTCTGAAGGTCAGTAATTTTATTTTATCCGTCCGTCGCCGTCGCCGTCGCAACGCGTTTCCTAGATCGTACCTACACTTTCCTTTCCACTTTGCTCGGCTTGACCTTAGCCGCGTATCACAGATCACGTTTTGTTTCCGTGTTTTTAATCGACTGGTAAGAAACGAGTGCAATTAAAGGAAAATTGAACGTTCGATAACGAATACAATGGACAATCGAAACATTTCTTTAATTAGATTCGAGGAACATGTAAACGTTTGGAAATGGTCGGTTACGATTGCGCACGATTTCTATCGGTGTCGTGTGTTTTTCGTGATATCGATAGTTGGAAGCCTCCTCGAGTTCTCTCGCGGTTCTAATTCGTTTACATGCTGTTTGTTTGTGACGCGTTTGTACGGGTGCAGCGTATCGCCACGTATCACCACACCATCCACGGCATCTCTATAAGCGCTTAAATAAGTTTTAAATAAGTTGACAAAGCTCCGTAAGCAGAATCCGTAACGGTGCGGTGTTTTGGATGGCCGCCGTACCGCGTCCGTTCCATCGTCATCCGTTGATTGGCCTGTTACGTAACAGACACTGTATTGTGCGTGTACAAATTCGTAACCGTATTATAAGCGTTTCGTTGCCTATCGTGCGACATCTAAGAGAATTTTTCTCACAAGAGTCATGCTACGTGGCGAAAAAGTTTGCTAGCAATTAAAGTCACGCAGCCCCGTAAAAACCTGTCGACGAATGCTAAAAAAAGTATGCACCGCGCGTCTACTTTTGGATTAATCGTATCCGATTCCGACGATCCGACGATATCCGAAAGGAACCAGTACGATCCCTTGAATCGGACAAATGATCTCTGAAACTCGATTTCTTTTTCAAAACTCTGCACGGTTTGATTGCGCAACGGCTGCTGTTCCGGACGTTTCAGACTCGTTAAAGTCGTTCGAACGCTGCGTGTCCACGCGAGACGAGATCAAATGCATACGATCCATTCGATTGTATCGGTGTTTGCTGGGTAATAGTAGAGAGCTACTCGTCAAATGACATTGCACAATCGATCGTTTTCATTATGTTAATGTTACGTCGAGACGAATTTCCATCGAGGAAACGAATCGTTGGCGAATAGAGTAGATGATGGAGTAGGTTACGTCGCAAAAGTATTTTTGCAGTTTGATTCTTCTGACAAGACGTCGATACGCCGAACAAATGATTAGATATACATATAATATGTACATGCTCCATAGATGTACACATTCTCGGTGAATAATGAACATTGTATGTACGATCGTTGGATAACGCTCGCGATCATTAATACCAGTCGCGTGGAACATTCGACTGACCGCAATTCCATGGACTCTCTTACATGCTTTCCTATGTAAATCTTTTTCTTTTTTTTTTCTTTCCTTTTCTTTTTCTTTTTCTTTTTCTTTTTCTTTTTCTTTTTTTTTTATCAGGCGTTCGCGACGCGATCGGAACAACATTGTCTGCTTGGTGTACCGTTTCAAAAAAAAACATGCGATACGCAAAAGAAAATTGTGTCACGTTTGATTTCAGGTGGGGAAAACTCACCCAGAGATGGACAAGATAGCACGGCTGTTGCCGTACGTGTCGCATAAGGATGAAGTCGTAGAAATTGCTGAACCTATCGATCCTGGTAAACTACTTCCTGGTAAGTATCTACGAAATGTCATTCGTGAGTTTTCCTTGTAGCATTAAAGTACTCGAACTCGAATATTCGATATTCGACGTATATCCACGTCTTTGAACGTGATTCAATTATGCACAAAGATGATCATTCGAGTTGTTTTTCTTGTCTTGGCGTTGTTATTCGATGCTCGAGACAAGAAGGTTGAAATTTGTATAAACCTCTCCAAGGAAAATCGGTAAACTCAACGAAAAGCGATTCGTCGCGTCGCGTTGTTTGCGTCACGCGATTACCACCACGCCAACGGAATTAGAAAGTACAAAGAAAAAGAAAAATATGTTTGAGGAATGTTACGTACCTAAATAAAATATGTATATGAAAAGACTAAAATAAAGATTTGGTACGACGAGACGTGTAGTCGTATATCGTATATCGGAATTGTTACTCGATACGAGTAAAGGTTGGAGGAACTATCGGATAGGTTTGCGTTTCACTTTAATACGAAATATCTCGTACAAAAGTTCCGGTTAGTTATCGATGGTTCTTAAATCGTTTGTCCGTCGATTCAGATGACAATGGCTACTGGACGTACTTGGGTTCGCTGACAACACCCCCCTGCAACGAGAGCGTCACTTGGATTTTGTTTAAAAAGTACATCGAGGTATCCCATCATCAGCTGAACATATTCCGGAATTTGCGAAAGTTTACGCGCGAAGAGGAGTGTCCTTGCCATGAAAACCATGGAGCGGTAAGTATGGTCGCTGTGCATAAGTAACGACAAAGTCGGTTGGCCAGAGGGAAGGTCACCGAACCGTTGGCGTTGACGTTGACGTTGACGTTGACGTTGACGTTGTCGCTGTCCTCGTGTACTGTTGAATCACGGTCACAGTCCGATCGCTACCGCTAACAATAAGTAACTCTTTGTTCCGTCCATCGCATCGGTTTACGTGCAAGTCCAAGTCCGACAAGCGATCATGATTCGTAACGGAGAAGGCGAACCATTAATCGTAGCCAGCTACAATCTACTTTTCAAATATTTCTAAATTTTACAAAGTTTCTAAGGAGCCCTATTCTTCCCCTCGATAGAGCAGTAGCTAATCCGCGCATATTTTTCTTGTGTTCTTTTCTTTTCTTTTCTTTTTAGCCTTTATCGCGTTTAATGAATTTCTGATTGGCGGAATCACGGCCCCGTTTCCTAATTCCGATGGTTTTCTTCTGGTTTCCAGGTAATCAACAACTTCCGTCCGCCACTACCGCTCGGAAATCGCGTGCTAAGGGAGTGCGGCAGCTTCTGAGCCTTTTTCGTTCTGACGCGCGTCGGTCTCTACTAACTAGTCGATGTCGGCAGAAAAAGGACCGGAAGGAAGGAGCTACACACAGCTTCGCCCCTTTTATCGAGATCGATCGCGAGCCGATCCCGTTCTGTTCCGTAACCTGAACCTTTCCCCGGGAAAACAAAGTGCCTTTTCACATAAAAGATAAAACATACTTCTAGTTAGGCCGTGCGTTACGCTTGGATCGAGTCTGGACTCTCGGCACCACGACATACGGGACGTTCGATGGCCATAGCGTAAAAAGCAAAGCACCAAACACACATGCGTTTCATTACACACGGGTATAGATTACATTCTTATTCGACAATCCAAGAAGGTAACAAACAACGACCTTCCATTTCCAGCAACGTGTGCATTTCGTGCGCATCGAAATGTTTATTTCGAGACTAGATTACGATTGCTTCGTTAACGGATCGATCCAAGAAACGTACGTAAAATATGCGTGAAATTTTAAAGAATGTAATCTTTATAGTCTTGGCGAATAACGAGATTCGTTGGACGCTAACGCTTCCGTCCATTATTGGCAGATCCACCAACAGTCTAGCGCAATTTCTATGAGAAATAAATATAATGTTAACCGTATGAACTACGATACGGTCCATGCATAAATATTATCCATTTTATATCGAAATAGCAAATGTTGCCTTTGGATTGGACTCGAGGATCGAACGTTCGGCTAGAAAAATGGGCATAAAATTGGAGAATATACCATTATCTTTCTGCTAAGTAATTTCATTTGAATATACGATAAAACAAAATTGTCGACTCGACATGTCACGGTCGAAGTATGATTGATGGGTCGTGCACGCCACTGTGCCTTTTAATTACTAGTATAATTGTAAGTTGTAACAATTGTATAATACCGACATGTTAACGCATTCTTGACTCGAGTCTTTGGGCAGTCTATCAAGTAGGCTTTGGAGACGAATAAGGAAATTGATCTACCTTCCTTATACATATACATACATTTTGTTTTTATTTTACTTGACACGATGCTTTTGTCCGTATACTTATTCGATATACGTTCAGAATCGGATGACGTAACGAAGAAAATAACAAATGTAATTATAACGTTGTAAATACTAGATGCAATCGGTGTACCTACTTTTGATGAAAAAGTTGAGACGAAGTTATTTACACGTTATCTATGTCATCCGGTTCTACATTTGCATGACCGTTGACTCTGAGCGTAAATCGAGCCGTCGTCGTTGTACCAGTATAACGAGGTTTTGCTTTTCAACGTGTTATTTTAACGCGTGTTTGAATTTCCAACCGGCATATTTTTCCCTCTGCGACCCTCCCTCATCCCTCATCCCTCATCCCTCATACCTCATACCTCATCCTTTGATTTTTTTTAGAAAATGTATAGTTACCGATGTACTAGACTCGAATATTTCTTCCTCCTGCTGCCGGAACAAGCTCCGTTAATGTATTCGTTTCGCAAGTATGCCGGTTATCCGGGATTTCTGTATATTTATTGTTAAACACGTGAGAAACAATCTGTATTTGTATTTCGTAGAATCGACTGTGATAAGAAGAAAACATATACGACGAAAGAAATAAAGTACCGTGAGATATCACGGTCATATGTTGAAAGGTTGAACCATTAATCTATGTGCATACGTATTTTCCCCAATTTTCCGATTATCACAATATTTCTTTTTTCTTCCTTTAAACGTTTCATCGTTTCATCGTTGATTCGTCCAAGTCACGAATTATTTCTATTACAAATTAGTGGAGAATGATTTGTGATTTACAATGCTAACGTATCCAAATCCGAGTGCGTTTGGTGTAGAAACTTGAATACGACTCGTAGGTAAACACTTTCTACGAGCAGCAGCCGGTAAAACGACTTTATAAATATAGTATCAGCTATCGAGAGGTTGCGTGTGTGTGTGTGTGTGTGTGTGTGTGTTTCAACCGTTAATGCAGCGGCCTGAGTCTTCTTCGAAACCGGTTTCAATGGATCAGAACATTCCGGGATACTTGATTGCGTCGCGCCGCTGTTGTTACTTGCATTTCGAAAGCGTTTCTACCTGTCGAAAATCCGAGGTTAACGGACTGACATCGATTACGGTCAGCTCAGCTTTATCGTCCAGCTGGGGAAATGGGTTGAATGGTACAGCGTTAGATACGACTCGTCGTATTATTCGATAGTTTGTCGGTGAAACTTATCGACCTTGTCGACCTCGAGGTCTTTGTCCTAATTTCAGAAAATGTACATTTATCATTCATAGGACAGATTTCGAAGGCTGAAGCATGCTACAGTACGAGTTTCGTGATCCCGAGGTACCCGAGCTATAAGGAAACAAAGAAACATGTAAAGGAACGTAGCCTAAGAAGTATTATTAATAATGTAACCCATAGTAAAGTAAGGACAGCAAAACAATATAAACATGATGTAAAAGAAAACACATATGTGCAAGACTGGTGAAATGCGCAAGGTACAATAATTAAATTAAACAGATTACAGATTACAATGAAACTAAATTGAAGTATATGTAACTCAATATGTGTATATAACTTAATTGAAGTAAATATACTTTCCACACTCTGAGAAGAGTAGCGCGCAGGCACGAGCTGGAGTAAGAGTAACACAAGCGACATAACCCACATCATCGAAACTTGTTACTTTATGTCGTCAGTAAAAAGGAAAGAAAGAACGTGCGTTATTCTTTTCCCAAAAATTATGCCAAGTATTAAATTAAATTAGTGATAAACATACGTCTGAGATTGTAGTCCTATCTAACATAATTCATATTTCGTAGGGAGAAGAGGAAGACGAGCGAATCTACGAACGTTGTCGGATGTGACACGTAAAACGAGGTTGTTGCTATTTAAACTGCTATCGTTGGTTTCTTTACAAGAGAAGAGAAGTAATCTAACATAATTTTAATATTGCAGGGAGAAGAGAAAGATAAGTGACCAACGGCGTTAGCCGTTAGGTTATCGAATGGAAAATGTCAATCGAGGTTATTCCTTCTTGGAGTAGAGTTTCTTTGTGCCCAAGATTGTGCCCGGAAGCTTGTACGAGAGGAGAAGAAGCCTGCAAAAGGATTGTCTTCTGCTGATACGATCACAAGAAACTCATCGCAGACAACAAGTGAATGTTCGCACCGATCTCGATTGCTAGGAGATGAGTGCAATTGTTAGCATAGTGTCAGTGAGATACAGTGTGTAAATCGGACTGTGGAATGTATGATACATTGGTTAACAAACAAAATTAAGACAAGTTTTTCTATGCGATTAGTGTAACTATGTATGTTTCGTGGCCTAGGTGTGCGTTAACTCTTTGGCATTCAAGGCTTTTTCTTTTTTCTCTTTTGTAGTATGTATCAACAAATGTAGAATGCTTTCTTAGCTTTGTACAACGTAAATGCAAAGCCATATATTAGCTTGGAAGTTGTAGGATTGCAATGAATTTAACATTTAATAATCAAGTCTCCTTTACCTGTCAAAGAATTATACCTTGTAAACATTATCTACCTTGAAATTTACTGCATCAATGTAGATAGTCACATGTCACTTTTAGAGTAACTACATCGAGGTTAAGTTAGGACTGTCAGTCATCTCTCAAGTGCAAAAGGTCAACAACCTGGAGGTTATCGAATGTTAGTTACAGATGTATTTATTTATTTTCTTTTTTTCTATAACACGACACATACACCCTTTGATAGAAGAATGTATTAGCACGATGCAGTGTACAATGTGATATTTAAAGATTCATAGTTAAGGAATAGTTGGCCCGCTTTCTCTCGCAATTTCCATTTCCATAAGCACATGTTTATCCAAGGGAACACGGTCGAATTAATTAATTAACATAACCTGTAATATCTGTCACGTACAACGTGACTCTATCCCCAGTGGATATCCGAGTGCAAAGGGTTAACGGAATCATAGTCGCGGTATCGTACGTCGTCGATATTAACTAATAAATAATAATAATTATTACTTTCCGCTGTCGGAACCGAATGCAACACAACAGTAGCAATAGATTTCGCATTCCTCGCCGCTAGAGGGACATCAGCGTCAAGTCAGCGACTTTCTCGCAAGCGCTCGAGCAGTCTTTCTCTCGTATATATACAACTTCTAAATCCCTTCCCTTGGGGTCGCAGTCGAGTCGCGCCGCGTTGCATCGGCACGGGCCGGTCTTCCACCACCACATAGACTAGACTCAAGTCTACTCTACGCGGAAGGAAGATCGGTACGCGCGCACCGACTCGACTCGACTGCGACCCCCCCTCCCCGGCAGCGCCGGGGAGGGTTGCACCCTTTCCATTTCACCAGTTAATGGCCGACCGGCAACGTAGAAGGACTCTCTCCCAAGAGGAGAGATTGGTGGCTCTCCCTCACGTTGTCGGGTGGTTAGGTCTGGGTTAGGTCTGGGTTAGGTCTGGGTTAGGTCTGGGT